TCAAGGAACCAGTTGTAGTACCTTTATGTTTCACAACAGCAGCTCTAAACTCCTCAACAATGGATGCATCCTTGAACTTCAGAGCAATTGTAGAAAGCCCTTCTTTCCCGTCACCAGCACTATTCAGGCAAGCAAAAGTGAGCCCTCTTTTGTCCATATTTGTGAGCTTCATTTCTGGATAAAGGCTTGCATTCAAGATCAACCTGTAATTTCCTTTGGTCCTCATAACAAGTCTAGCTTTTCCCTCTCCTGGTGTAGAAACATTTACCTTTAGTTCTCCCTTGCCCCGCTCTTTCCACCCTCCATCAAGAAATTCAAACAGCACAGAATCAGCTGTGAATACGGGCTTTTCATTTTCCTCCCCTGTTTCAACAGAGACCTCTTCTTTGGAAGGAAATCCAGTACCCTCACCCTTGTTCACAATGGATGACCCTGAGTTTCCAAACAGAGAGTTATTTCCATTAGTGGGAAGAGTAAGTCCAAAAGATGGCTGGTCAGTTTTTGCCCCAAAGAGAGAACCAGAACCAGATTCAGCACCAAAACCTAGAGGAGACCCCTCTTTTGAAATAGCTCCAAAGGAGAATGTAGTGCTGGTGAACCCAGTCCCTGCAAGTCCCGTGAAAGCATTTTGGCTACTTGAGAGCTGTTGGAATGAGCTAAACGATGCAGTTTCTGTACCCTTCTCACTTTTCTCACCACCCGCATCAGTTTGTTCTTCATTCTCTGTTTTCTCGACTTCCACATCCTTCTTACTTTCACTTTCGTTCTTCTCAATTACTGTGCTTTCCTTGGTTTCATCCTGGATTTTCTCATCTTCAACCACCTTCTTTTCAGCAGATTCAGGTTTTTCAGACTCATTAGGAATTTCAACTTTCTCCTTGTTAACATTAGGTTCATCAACATTACCTTCTGATGTCTTAGAATTTTGATCAGGTTCCTTTTTACCTTCATTATTCGCATCATCTTCTTCCTTTCCAGTTGCCTCACCAACATCACCTGTTTCTTCTGGTTTCCCACTCTCAACATTGCCTGTGGTCACAGCAGAAGTGACACCGGATTCAGTAGGCAAGCGAATCGCTGCAAAAGGATTAGATGAAGGTCCAGTTGTGGTTGATGTAGTTTGATTGCGACGAACTTTGACAATTCTTCTACTTGCCATCACCTCCTCACTTGCTCTCTTGAAAGTTCCAGTTTCTTGATCAGCTGTATCTTCATCATCATCAAGACCAGGATTGTCCCGTGATATTTCCTTTAGAGCCGCCCTTTTCTTTGATGGTTGAAGAGAATTCTCTGTGTCTCCCATCCGGAAATGAAGAAAGACACCTGACGAGTTCTCAAAAGAATAGAGATTCTATTNGCCCCGCCCCATTGCCATCCCTACACTCAACCAGACAAAGAACGCGGCAGAGTTTAAATGTCAAAGAGCACTTCTTCTTACTTGTGAGTTTCTTAACAAGTTCCTTCTTTCTAAGTTACCAAGAAAGACAANAAGAGAATTCTCTGTGTCTCCCATCCGGAAATGAAGAAAGACACCTGACGAGTTCTCAAAAGAAAAGAGATTCTATTTCTGCAGGACATTGCATAGAAGACATCAGTAACCAGACAAACATATTTGAAAAAATATCTACCGAAAACACAAAACCAAGGAATTGGGGAGAAGTCATAGGATTTTAGATAACCAACGAAATGTAAAGGAAACATCTGAGGTGAGTAAAAAGGTTGGTACTTCTTCAAATAAATGCAAGCTTGTTCCACCGATATAAAGACTACCCTACTAAATAAACTCCTAAACACTAACGGCGCAAGTTTCGGATCACGTAGTTGTCAGGGGTATAAGACAGGCATATAATAATGGGGGAAAACAAAAAGGTGCAAGAGGACTGCTCTGCACAATACATGTCTACAGCTACATGTAATGTCTATCCACCAATATTATGTATTATCTCCAGCGTATGATAAGTTTTAGATTCTTAAGTGCTTAACCAGCTTCTACTAGGACCTTAATTTAGATTCAAATCCTATGGGAGAGCAAAGTAATAGGTGGCAGTGCATCCAAATCCTACAAAGAATCTGCAAGAAATATTGTCCAATCTCATTCTTTTCTAGAAATACCAGGCAATGTGTTTGGCAAAAGAAATGCAGAGACAGAAATGGTGGAATTAGACTATTAGAGATTAATAATAATTCGAGATAACTAAACAAATATTTCATACAAATAAGATTTATACATAATTATCAAAGAAAATATGAGAAAATGAAACAAATTCCAAACAGAGAAGTTGCAACATTTGCTTGACCTAGCTATCCGCATTGCAGGTTTCTGATAGAAACAGAAATGCAGCTAGGGAAAAGAAATACACTAGATTCTTTAAATTTACCTATTTCTTTAAATTAAAATATGTTACAACTACTTCAAAACTAGTGGCACTGCTTTGCTCTTCCCATTAACCACAAAGTTGAAGAGGAATACGAATATCTTTACCTTCTAGTATTAAAAACAACTCAATTGCACTCAACTAGGGATGGCAAACGGGGCGGGGCAGGTTTAGCTTTAACCCGCAAAAACTTTAACCCGCCCCGCATACACTTTTGTTTCCCTTTACTTTGTTATTTGCCTACTCATAAATTTAAAAATATTTGGATAGATTTTGGAAGCAGATTCAACAGATTAAAATTATCACTGAATAACAACAAATTTGTCTTTATCGTGAGTTCCTCGTTCGATTTGTAATAAACTGCTTTTGTTATCTAATTTTAAAAAAAAACAGAAAAAAAGACTTCATCCCATTTTTACCATGTCTGATGGAACAAAGTATTTTTAGTTTAATCATATATGACTAATTGTTTTAGGGCATATGATGTCAAAATAAATTATAAAAAAGCACTTACACAGAGATTTTCTAAATGCCTGGAGATAAAAAAAAGACCAACTTTACTGTCAATTAAAAATTGTATAGACTCATAAAAGACAATTCACTATCAATCTGGACAGATACACAGTTTCATAGAATAACTAGGACATGATNTGCATCTGATTATATATGTATTATCTATTCCAACAAATAATACAAAAGAAGGAGGTTTTTCAATGCGAGATCTAAAAACATATCTCTCTGTGGCACCAGTACTAAGTACGCTATGGTTCGGGGCTTTAGTAGGTCTATTGATAGAGATTAATCGTTTTTTCCCGGATGCGTTGACATCCCCTTTTTTTCATTCTAGTTATTGTCACGGGAAGGAATGAAGAAGATTAGAGATGCAATCAAATATTGGTGATGAATCCCTCTCCCCTCTTTTCTCTTTTTTCCCTTTTTAGAATAAGGGAGGAAAGAGAAAGAATAAAAAAAGTGGATTCAACATTCGGGCTCTAAGTTCGAATTAACTGAATATTAATAATAGAGGAATGGGGGTAGAATAGAAGATCTAGGGCAAGAGTATTATACAAGATACTTAAATGATTACTTCAATTTGAAATATACTTTAGATCCAACGATGAAAAAAAGAGCTTAAGCAGTACACCTACTTGAAACATTCTATTCAATCAAGCAAAAGAGATTCATAAAAGAGGCAATCAAATGTCTCTGGCATCTCACTACATCCATTAATATCACATAAATCTCGAAAACAAATAGAGGAAACCAAGTTTAAGAAATCAATCACATGGTTCATTTATTTTTTTCCGAAAAATAAAAAGTAAGATAACATCAAAACGTTCAATTAAATCAAACTTTCAGGAGGTGAGAGCTCTTTCAAGAATTTTATACTAGTTCTTGTAGTAATAATTAATATATTCGCAGTACCACTACTCAGTTCATCAAAGTTCAAAGAAATGTTAACTATGAGACACCGACAAGACTTTTGATAGAGACGAAGTATCTGAATTAGCTGCAAAATCAACACACAATTTTCGGTCTAACAAATTAGCTTACATTAGGCAAAAGAAGATCTAAACTTAGTGTCTAGAACGTTCTAGATTCTCATCGCTTCCACAGCACTTCTTTAAATTTGAAATGGTACATCAGCAAACACTCAAAATTGAAACTATAGGTTAAAGAGACTAGCAGATTAATTAAAATTCGACGAAATTGCAGGAACATCTAAGAGAAAAAATGAATTCAGAAAAGAAATGAAAGAAATAAGATTAGAATGAGTCGATATTACCTGACAAAATTCAAATTTCGTCCGCTTGATTCGCTTGTAATTTGCAGAGTTCTGTGCTCTAGACCCAGCTGAGGAATATATAAAACCCTAGTCAGAACTAATCTTGATTATGAAAATGAGGATAGGGACGTGTCACCTTAATCATTAAACTAGGCTTTTTGGATGAAAACAAAAAGGAAACACAAATTGGGCCGAGAAAAATGATAGAAGAGGCCCAAGAAATGGACCTCAATGAGAGACCTCTGAAAAGTGAAAATGTATGAACCTAGACGTTCCTATGGAAATGGTCAGTTAATTAACTTAGAGGATGTTTGGCTAAGCTCATAAGCTCGTTAAACTGGTTTATAAGTACTTTTTGGCTTATCTATGTGTTTGGTAAAATTAAAAGTATTTATAAGTTAAGTGCTTATAAGCCAAAAATAAGCCAAAAGCAATAAGTTGGTCTCATCCAATTTATCAAATTTCAGCTTATAAGCACTTTAAGTTTGACCAAAATATTTACTATTCTATCGCTAAATACTTCTTTTTAAAACAAAACTCTTCATATACCCAGTTCTTCAGCTGCATATTATTAATTTCAGCACTTTTATCCAAACACGTAATTGCTTATTTTTTAAATTAGTTTCAGCACTTAAAAGTGCTTTTCAACACCTAATGCTTATCAGCTACTCTAAATCAGCTAAGCCAAACGGGCTCTTATTATGAGTAACTTTTTTCCTTCCAACGAATTCGTAATAGATGACCATCATTTTCTTTGAATTTGTTGAATTCTAACATTCGATCAAGCGGGAGCCTTGACTAAGGACACAGGTCAGGTGCTAGGGGAGAAGCTGGAAGCTATGAGGGCGTGGAGGAGTAGCGGGGACGCGAGTGGTATGTGGACTTTGACAGCGAACTACATTAGGGAAGCTGCTAGAGTGGTGCTTGGGGTCTCGAAAGGTTACTCTGGAGGTCACAAAGGGGATTGGTGGTGGAATGGAGAGGTCCAAGGAAAGATAGAAGCCAAGAAAACAACGCACTTGAAACTGGTGGAGAGCAAGGACGAAGAGGAGAAGAGGACGAACTGGGAGTGGTACAAGATGTCCAAGAAAGAGGTGAAGTTAGCGATTACGACGACTAAAATGTCAGCATTTGGACGTTTGTACGAAGAACTTAGTGACAAGGGTGGAGATAAGAAGCAATACAGGCTAGCCAGGGTGAGAAAAAGGAAGTCCCGTGCCCGGATCAGGTGAAGTGCATCAAAGATGAGGATGGTAGAGTATTGATGGATGATGCGCATACTAGACGTAGATGGCAAACATGCTTTCATAAACTCCTAAATGAATAAGGGTATAGGGGTATTGTGTTGGATGATTTGGAGCACTCCGAGAGTCGACGTGACTTTGGTTTTTGTAGGCGTATCAAAATGGGGGAGGTCGAGGGGGCTATGCGTAAGATGTGCAGGGGAAGAGCGACTGGGCCAGATGAAATTCTGGTAGAATTTTGGAAGAGTGTGGGTAGAGCTGGCTTGGAACGTCTCACTGGGTTGTTTAACACCATCTTTAGGACGAAAAGCCTGAAGAATGGAGGTGGAGTACGATGATCTGGGGTATAAGAATATGGGAGATATCCAAAATTTGTAACAACTATAGGGTATCAAGTTGTTGAACCATACTATAAAAGTTTGGGAGAGAGTGGTGGAAGCGAGGGTGAGGAAGAACGTGTCTATTTTCGAAAACCAGCGGATTCATGCCGGGACATTCAACTACAGAAGCCATTCATCTTGTAAAGAGGTTGGTGGAGCAGTATAGGGAGAGGAAGAGAGACTTACATATGGTGTTCATTGATCTAGAGAAAGCATATGACAAAGTTTTGAGGGAGATTCTATAGAGGCGTTTGGAGGCTAAGGGTGTTCCGGTGGCTTATACTAGGGTAATTAAGGACATGTATGATAGAGCCAAGACACGAGTGAGGACCGTGGAGGGGGATTCAAACCACTTTCCAGTTGTGATGGAGTTGCACGAGGGGTTGGCTCTTAGCCCATTCTTATTTGCCTTGGCGTTGGGCATACTGACACGCCACATTCAAGGGGATGTGCTTTAGTGTATGTTATTTACGGATGATATTGTTTTGATTAACGAGACGCGAGATGGAGTTAACGCGAAAGTTTGGAGTCTAAAAGTTTCAAGTTGAATAGGACCAAGACTGAGTACTTAGAGTGCAAGTTCAGTGACAAAACTGAGGGTGTAGACATGGATGTGAGGCTTGATACATAAGTCATCCATAAGAGAACTAGTTTCAAGTACCTTGGGTCTATTATCCAAGGAAATACAAAGATTGATGAGGATGTTACTCATCGTATTGGAGCGGGACGGATGAAATAGAGACTCGCATCTGGTGTTTTATGTGATAAGAATGTGCCACCTAAACTTAAAGGTAAATTTTACAGAGTGGTGTTCAGACCTACCATGTTGTATGAAGCAAAGTGTTGGCCAGTCAAGAACTCTCATGTATAGAAGATGAAAGTATCGGAAATGAAGATGTTGAGATGGATGTACGGGCATACCAGGATAGATAAGATTAGAAATGAAGATATACGGGACAAGGTAGGAGTAGACTCGGTGGAGGACAAGATGCAAAAAACGAGGCTTAGGTGGTTTGGACATGTAAAGAGGAGAAGCACAGATGCTCCAGTGAGGAGGTGTGAGAGGTTGGCCTCAGGTGGTCTGAAAAGGAGTAGAGGTAGGCCAAAAAAGTACTGGGGAGAGGTTATTAGGTAGGACTTGGCGTTGCTTGAGCTCACTGAGGACATGACCCTTGATGGGAAGGTGTGAAGGTCGAGGATTAAGGTAGAAGGTTAGTAGGTAATCGAGTGTGTGTCTTTCTCATACCAGTAGCAATAATAGTCCCAGCCTTGTATTTCGGTAGCAGTAATAGTGACAGCCTTGTATTTCGGTAGCAGTAATAGTGACAGCCTTGTATTTCGGTAGCAGTAATAGTGACAGCCTTGTATTTCGGTTATTGTCAGTCTTGATTACTACATGTTTTCTTATTATATTGCTGTTGATATTGCTTGTTCTCTTATTATCTTGTTATTGTTACTGCTTGTTTTCTTATTATCTTGTTATTGTTACTGCTTGTTTTCTTATTATCTTGTTGTTGGTATTACTTGTCGTCACTGATCTCTTTTTCTTTCCTTGAACGGAAGGTCTATCGAAAACAACCTCTCTACCCTCAAGGTAGGGGTAAAGTTTGTGTACACACTACCCTCTCCGGTCCTCGCTTGTGAAAACTGAGTTTGTTGTTGTTGTCGTTAGAATTCTAATATTCAACAAATGGAAAGTGATTCTATACACGTCTTTTGTCTTTTCTTTATTCATATCTTATACGTTATTTTTTATTGGTGTCATATACCTAAAATAATGTTTGTTGGCATAGGACCTTTTTCTAAATTTGAGCAGGAAGAGTATTTTTTTGTGTGTGTGTCAATTGGCAATGGATAAATAAAGATATATTTCGATGGAAAATAAAAAATCATAATATATTGCGGCGGGATATGATGAGGAATATGAAATAAGATATATTTCTGCACTACTTCCACATCTATATATGATTTTAATTATTTCTATACTGACAATGGCACGTAAGGAGCTTGAAGAGCAGAAATCTGTGCCTCAAAACAATAATATACATAACTACGAGTGACTAACTATAACAGCCGAAGCAAGAAATATATGTCCAACCACAACAAATTTCTATGTTAAGCGTGGCAAACTATGTAACTTTTGTAATTTAGTGACAAAAAGGTATGCCCAAATAATAGGTTACTAAGTTCCTTGTTTTATAATTTAATTATCTAACAAACTTACTGTCAAGAACCAGATAAGGAACATGTTACACATTCTCAAGACCTTAAGATCAAAAGGTTCCAGCTTGGGATATGGTTCAACTCTTCAGAGTTAAAGGAACAACAGAGGGAACAAATAGCTATCGTTTTTTGAGGAAACTGCACAAGTCAACTGCCCCAGCTGTAAAATTGTTGCCTACACACGCTACAATGCAAAAACAGTGCAGCAGATAACTTTATGGGGAGTGTCTTTTACCTACCTTGCTTAAATCATTCTAAGTGATGTCACAAATATATTATTAACATCAAGGAAAGTAAAACAAATCACTTTAACACTTAGAGATTTCACTCAAGCACACTCACTGTGATTGATCATCAAGAAAATGATTCTCAAGTGTATCAAGAACAAAGAATAACACTGCTACGGACCAGTTTCCCATATCAAGTTATTGTATGTCCTTAATTGAGTTGTAACTTTGTAATAATTCTTCAATTGTAATTCCTACTTAAATTGTTTAGAAGCATTGCATAGGAAACTCTTTGTAAATCATAAACTATTGTGTTTGTGTCTTGGCTAGAGTTAGTCGAGTTGTAAAGTCTTTGTAATATAGTTATTACAAAGTGGCTTGTAATAGAGTGTTACAAGTTAGGGAAGGGTTAAGAGGTTAATTCATATGTTACGTAGGTTGTAATCTGAAAGTTGCTCAGTAGTGAAGTTGAAATCCTACAAGGGTAAGTCATGATTTTTAATCCCGTTGAGCTGGGAATTTTTCACGTAAAATTCCTCTTGTCATTTACTTACTGCAATGTGCGTGGTTTCAGTGGGAACTAAAAGAGAACATGGCTCTCTATATAATTTGGTGGACCCTTAAATTCTATCAATTGATATCAGAGCAGGTTCTTTCTATTAGGCTAACACCTAGAAAGGATCCTCATGCGCCTCCGCAAACTTCGAAGAAGGTCAGTCTACTTACAGACCACCAAGGTTCAATAGTCAATATTATGGATGGTGGAAGACTAGGATGCACGACTTCATCATGGCTAAAGATTCAGAGCTATGGGATGTTATCTACGATGGAATCTTTGTTCCTACCAAGAATCTTGGCGACCCAACTGTAGCCATTCCCAAGACGAGGAAAGAATTCAATGAGACTAATCGAAAGGTCGTAGAAAAGAATTTTCGTGCAAAGAAAATCCTTGTTTGTGGCATTGTTCCTGATGAATATAATAGGATATCGACATGCCTATCAGTAAAAGAAATTTTGGAGGCCCTTCAGATAGCTCATGAAGGAACAACACAGGTCAAGCAATCAAAGATTGATATGCTTACAACTGAATACGAGCTTTTCAGGATGAAAGATGATGAATCCATCCAAGACATGTACATTCATTTCACCTCTATCATCAATGAGCTTCATTCTCTTGGAAAAATTATTTCAAGAAACAAACTTGTCAGGAAAATACTCAGTGTCCTGCCCAACTCCTATGAAAGCAAAGTGAACACTATTACATAGGCGAAGGACTTGTAGGAGCTAACCATTGATGAGCTTGTAGTAATCTGAAAACATATGAAATGATGATGATGATGAAGAAGAAGAAGAAGAAGGGCAATGAAAGAAGAGAGCCCAAAAGGGAGAAAAATCTGGTCCTCAAGACATACAACAATGATTCAAGTGGTGAGGATGGTGATATGGCTTACTTGACAAGAAGATTCTCGAAAATGGTTCGCAGGAATGGAGGCATTTCAAAAAGGGGCAGTTCTGGCAAGCCAAAAAATTATGACCTCTGTTATAAATGTGGCAAGCCAAGACACGTTGGGATGAAACATTACTGCTCTCGTTAACAAGTCCAATGTTGCCTCTTGCTTTTTCCAAGCAGAGGCATAGTTAAAGCTTTATTAATATCAATCCTCATTTTATTATGTCAGTACTCTCTTTCTGTGTTCTATTCTCTATCATGATATGTGCACATATGTGGCATGAGTTAGCTTAGCTGGATTTCTTTGTGTTGTTATTCTATTTTTTTTAATGATGCCAAAAGGGGGGAAAGGAACACATAGGGGAACTCATTGTTACAATAAGGCATAGTCTCAGGGGGAACACGATAAGGCATAGTCTCAAGGGGAACCCTGTGACCCCGTGTTTCCTCTGTTACTTGAACTGGTTCTTTACTGCTCTAAAACCACTCGATAAATGTTAAGTTTGTGATCATCAAAAAGGGTGAAATTGATAGGATTTAAATATTTTTGCCTTATGTTACTGTTAAGAGCCAGATAGGGAACCTGACCTACTGTTAAGAACTCATTGATTATCTAACAAACTTACTGTTAAGAGCGAGATAGGGAACCTGACCTACTTGGATTATACTGCAAGTTTTAACGGATTCCAACTAAAGGTGAACTGCTATAGCTTCAGGAGCTAGGAATCCACACAAGGACTTGATACTCTTGTGGTTCCCTCAGAGCAGTACAAAGTCAATTGGACACAGCTGAAAATGGAGTGACTGACGACACTATTTCTGCCGCACTGCACTGTCTCCAGCGCTCACTCATTCTCTTAACCAAATAAAGTTCTCACATCATTTCAAGTGATGTGATCAAGATGTACATACAATGAGTTTTATACAAAACATCACTTGTAGGTTTCAGTTTCTCATTCAAGCTTCTTGACAAAACAAAAAAATCAATCCTCTCAAGCTTGAAGAACAAAGTTGAACGCAACTACGGACCAGTTCCTAAAAGATAGCTTGTTGTTGTC